CTGCTTCTCCCTCTCCCGCTCCCCCCTCTTGTGGTCTCTCTCTCAAATAAAGAAAATCTTTTAAAAATAAATAAATAAGTATCAAAGTAATTTACTGCAACGTTGTTCAAGTAAACATCCCTGAAATGAAAACTGTTATAAATACAGTAGCCCTCAAGCCTCAGGAAGGTCCCCAAGCTTGTCCAGAGAGAAGCCATTATCTACCTCCATGTGGCTCAGGAGGGGAGCATGTGTGTGGGAAGAAAGTTAAAGACACCAGTAAGAAGGAAGAAGACATTCTAAGAAAGGATGGGGTGACGGTTGCAAAACACTCTGACTATACTTTGTGTCACTGAACTGCACACGTAAAGACAGAAAAGGTGGTGGCACAGCAATTCCTACCTGCACTCCTTGATCACTTGGTGGATGTCAAACTCAAAGGCTGCCAACAAGATGTTGTCCAGGGGTTCTGGGCTGCTCTCACCTCCCAAAAACAGGTCAAGGCTGGACTGTGGAAAGGTGGTGACCCACTCAATTCCCAGACGGAAGCAGAGACTCAAGGGGTCAGGCAGGGCTGCTGTGTAGGGAACCCTGGAGAAGGGTGATGGGGTCCTTCAAAAAGGGCCAAAGGAAGGGCTGGCTCGCTGGAAAAACGTGCGACTCATGATCTCTAGAGTCTTGAGTTTGAGCCCCACGTTTGGGGTAGAGATTACTAAAAAAAATAAACTTAAAAGGAGGAGGGAGGGGCAAAGGGAAGACCCTTCCTGTTCTCCAGGGAGGTTCAACTCAAAGAGGCCGCACACTGAAAATGACCTAGCCCGCAGGATTCCTACTCCCCACCACCATCCCTTGGGAGTTCAGGCTCACCTGGGCATAGAGGTGCAGGTCAATGGGTTTTACTGTGGGATGAGAGTACAGGAGCCGGGTCACTAGGAAATGATACCAGTTATTCAGAAGCTCCTTCTGCTCCAACAAGGCAGCTTCATCTCCCAGCATGATCTAAGGAAAGAGATTTTTTACCTCAGTTCCAGAGCCAACTTCTCTGTTAACTCTCCTGATCTCAGGGTGCCTGGGTGGCTCAGTCGGTGAAGCGCCTGCCTTTGGCTCAGGTCATGATCCTGAGGTCCTAGGATCGAGCCCTGCATCAGGCTCTCTGCTCCACGAGAAGCCTGCTTCTCCCTCTCTCTCCAACCCCACCCCCCCCAACTCATGCTCTCTTGTGCGTGCTCTCTCTCAAATAAATAAATAAAATCTAAACAATATAACAAAAAATCTCTCCTGATCTCAACTAGAGCATCTGCTCTGAAAGCTCTTCCTTCCTGGCAGAGCTGATGGATAGCCTTGTCCAAAGAGGATCATGTTCCTGCCGTTGCTGTGCTGGATGTCACAGCCCCAACTTGGACCCCAACCTAGACTTCCTTTCCACAGACCTTGCAGAGAGACTCCAGGTGAGGACTGGCAGCAAACGTGCTGTCCTGGAGGTGACGCTCACATTCCTCATGCCAGTGCTGCCACTTCAACTCCAGCTCTGTCAGCGTCTGGGTGTTACCAGGCTAAGGGGAGAGACACAGTGAGATGCCATCGCCATAGAAACCCCTTGTGCTTAATGAACGAACCCCTCTCTTGTGACCCAGCAGAGCAGGGCTGCTCCCACATACACTGAGAACGGGCATTGTCCTCATCAGGTCCCCTAGGATTCGGCACATGCCTGCAGAGGAGGGGCTGGCGTCGGCTTCCTTGGAGAGCATCTGCCGAGCCTCGTCCAGCCGGCCCTGTAGTACCAAGATGGTCACCTGGGAGGACACACAAGAGCATGAACATTCACGCAGGCCCGGAAGCCAGTCTCTTCAATCCACACTTGGGCCTCCTAGCCTTATGGAAGTGTGATGGTTCCTTCCCTCCAGCAGTAATCTAAGTCATCTAGTCTAAGGGTTTTAACCTGGATCATGCTTTTCAAACTGCATGTTGTAACCCATTACAGACTGCAACCAACTTTTTAAAAAATAAATGAAATGTGGATGCCTGGCTAGATCAGTCGGTAGAGCATGCAACTCTTAATCTCAGGGTCATGAGTTCAAGCCCCACACTGGATGTAGAATTTATGTAATGAATGAATGAATGAAATAGAAAACAGAAAATGACATAGTACATCAAGTAAAGATTGGTTCAGTTCAAATATACAAACACACACATACACTCAATATAAATAGTCAACCCTCTTTATTCAGAGATTCCATATTTGTGAATTTGCCTACTTGTTAACATTTGTAACCCCAAAATCAATACGTGAGGTACTTTCACCATTACTTGTGGACATGTGCAGAGTGGCAAAAACGGAGTCACTTGATGTGCACGTTCCCAGCTGAGGTTGAACAAGGTGGGGCGCTCTACCTTCTTGTATCAACTCTCACACTAAACAAGTGTCTTTTTTTTTTTTTTTTTGAGACAGAATGCGAGAGAGAGAGAGCACATGAGAGGGGGGAGGGTCAGAGGGAGAAGCAGGCTCCCTGCTGAGCA